CTTAATTCTTGTGAGACGGCCTCTGAGCCGTATGGGCATTTATGGTTACTGCACAGCACTTATTTCGTCTGTTTCCGGGATCGTTAATGCTAAGGTGATGACGCTACCGTCGACAACGGAGTGTTCTCAACGTAGTATTTCGCAGAAGCTTCGTCTGATTTCTAATTTTATGGCTTTTAAGCCCACTCATATTAAAACTTGCGCATGCTACGTAAGAGGACGTACGCAACTCTTTCCAGCAGCTCTTCCATATTATAGAGCAGCAGTAGTGGTAACGGACGTCATCTGTCGCGTGGCGACACGCTTCTAACGCGAAGCGACGGATTCAGGCCGCTGCTTATCGATCCCTCTCAGACACAGCCCCAAGGCCATACATACGTCGAACCTCTTCTACTCGTCGGAGGTTTTGATGCTTCGTCCATTCTTGTCTCGTAAAGGTGTGACCACAGCTTGCGCAACTCGTCATGGCGCCCACTTGCGGCCTCCTATCTTATCAACTTACAATAACAGTGACTACTTCTTCATTTCTTCGATTTTTCTCGAAAATCGTAGCTAGTAACTTATCCAAATACTATCTTGTCTGAATAGTAATTTACTAGTTAACTGCGCACTATATGCATGTTTATGGAAAATCATACTTATTTACTTTTTTGTTTTTTTTCAATTATGTGGCCTCTGGTTCTTTCAAATATTACACCTTATTGAGAACCTTTTTTTGGACCTGTAATTATGTGCCTTCATTCCATTTGATAGAAAACTTTTTTGCTCCTCGAAAAAAATTGTAGGAGCCTATGTTATTATTATTTATTTTGTTCGTACGCGTTCATCGACTCGAAACTGCTCATTAATTCTCATATGATTGTCTCATTTCGATTTCCACTCGTCGGCATTTTTTCAGATGGCGGCCGCTGGAGGACAGCAACCACCTCAAGGAACTGATCAGAATTTCGATTACATGTTCAAGGTTTGTCATCATAGCTGAACTCCGACTACCACTATCGAATTTCATTTTTCGCATCCACCTCTCGCCCTCTGGGATGCGTGAGATTGATTTCACCCGAGCTTAGGCAAATTCTCGGATGTTTAATGTTTTCATATATCATGTTTGAGGCTCCATAACG